CTTGCTGCAGTGTTCTAGCGAAGCTCAACACAAGCTAGAAAAACAGCACCTCATTTTCTGCTTGGGGACCCTGCAGCCCTCCGGACTCAATATTGAGTTCAATAATTTTAGGGCCTAAACTTTCCCATGCCCCAGGCCCCTACCCCACATACCAGGCCTTGTTACCTCATAGCCTGCCATTACACACCCCCTGTTGTTAGTCACTAATAGTGTCCATTAACAACTATTCACCCTCCCAGCCTGATCGTTAGCAACACTTTGTCTGTCCAACTGCTCTTCTCTCTCTTTAGGCTCTATCCTATCATTTACGCCCTATCCCATCCCCCTCCCCTTTTTTCTGCATATAAACTGACGTTTTCCCAGCTACCATCAGTTCTGAGGAAGGGTCACTAGACCCAAAATGTTAACTCTGATTTTTCCTTCACAGATGCTGCCAGACCCGCTGAGCTTTTCCAGCAACTTCTGTTTTTGTTCCTGAGTTGGACTGAAGGGTCTGTTTCCATGCTGTATAACTCTATGACTCTGTGACTCTATGGGATAGTTCTTTTGAATAACATCAAAGAACCAAATATAGCAACACTTTTATTTCAACAGTCAGCAAAAAGGACACCAAGTGCTAGACTGCGTTGTCGCTATCTGCAGAATCATGCCTATATCTGGAGACCCCTCTCCCTACAGTTATCCAGCACTTCTTCATCCCCTGTTTCTTTAGCCTCAGCTAAGGATGCTGATGGTTCAAACTACCTTTTCGTTTTCTGCAGATTCTTTCTAAGTTTTTTTTCCTTCTTATGACACGCATGGTTAAATTGTACCTTTTCCTTCAAATTTGACATGCAGGCAATTTCCTCTACAACAGTGCTGTCATCCCTAGGCCTACCTAAGTTTGCATTGGGAATTCTGAAAACTGACGGGATTAGCACAGAAAATTGATTGCTGTTAGCAGTGGAGGTTAACACTCAAGCATGACAAAAATAACTTTAATCCAAACTAGAGCTGGTTTATACCCGATAATTAAAATAATGCCCTTCAGTCTTAACCCCATTGGAGAAGCTTAATGCGAACAGATCCAAGGGGAGAAGCCATTGGTTGTGGTGTTTCTCCTATTTCCAGGCCCCATATTTCCTCTGCTGTTTCCCCTTTATATATCCAGACATCAGTTTATCAATTAACAGACATTACCTATTTTCCTTCCAACTGTAATCACTTGTTTTATTGACATATTATCCTGTTGCCTTACCTTAACAGCAGAGACATCACTTAGTCTGCCACAACAAAGTATTTCCTATTTTCTGCTACCTTCCCAATCAATGAGTCATTGTACAGGCTTGTAATAATACTAAGAAGTTGCTTACATCTAATATCATAAGTCTTCAAGCATTTGCTGTACCTCAGTTGCATATAGCACCCAAAAATGGGTGGGACAGTGGGAGCAGGTAGCCCCAAGGCAGAGAACGCGGGAACAGGCAGCCCCGTGGGAGTGAGAGTGGGAACAGGCAGCCCCGTGGGAGTGAGAGCGGGAACAGGCAGCCCCGAGGGAGTGAGAGCGGGAA